ACTATACGTGGGGAAGGAAGTAAAAGAACTTCTGATAATAGTACCAATGCATACTTCACGGAACGCTGAAAAATGGAAGTTTAATAACGATGTACGTCTCCATTTCGCGTTCAAAATCAGGCATTATTAATGGTTATTTCGAATATCTACAAATTCAAAATATCTTCTGTATGTAGTACACATACCTATTTAATAATATTTCAATATTCCACTCAGCTCCATCTCTTATAAATTTCCTTAGTACACAAGTAATATTGAACATTCCATTGTGTATCACGACTCACAGATGGAGTTATAAGTTTGTAACCTTAAAATTCCTAAATATCTAGCATATCTAGGAACTTTCGTGTCGCTTTAGCGTTACTTTCCCGCGTATTTTTAAGGCTGCGCAGGACCTAGAGCCAAACTCCGAGTTGACTTCAGCGACAGTCGCGGTAAAAGTAGGAAACTCCGGGATAAGGACAGAGAGGGCGATACAACAATTGCAGGAGAGACGAAGACAGGGCGATTAGGCTATCATGATTCTTTTCAAGGATATTGAAGCAAAGAAGCAATATTTTCTAATAATTTTGATTTCAAAATATTCCTTATACCTTGGCGCATGCCACTGTAAGGCCCGATTTTGGAAAAAGTGTTTGTAAACAAATTTATTCTATAAGAAAAAAAAACCATACTTTTATTATTTACAAAGTTTCAAGACCGAAATTGCAAAATCGGGCGTTAGAGTGGCATGCGGAGTGATGTAAAGAATATTTTCGAAAAAGAATCGTGAGAAAATGTTGCTTCTTTGCTTCAATATCCTTGACAAGAATCATGCTAGCTTAATCGCCCTGTCCTCGTCTCTCCTGCAATTTTTGTATCGCTCTCTCTGTCCTTATCCCGGAGTTTCCTACTTTTTCCGCAACTGTCGCTGAAGTCAACTCGGAGTTTGGCTCTGGGTCCTGCGCACCCTTCATGGAGGAAAACTTTTGGCGAATTTCTATAGTAAAATTGAAGTATTTTTAATGTATTTTATTTTTAATGTTGTATTGTATTTTTGCACAGCTGTAACATTCCCCGTTTTAAATCAGGCTTGAATTCGGTTTAATGAAGTTCACAAAAAATTAGCCTTTATTGACATACCTCCAGAAAAGTGGAGTTTGAGAACTGCTGCTTTACCCTATTGAAAATAAGTTTTCGTAAAACAACTAAAAATTTACTAAGTATGAATATTACGATGACGTATAAGTGTCGTAGGGAATTTACGCAATGTTTCTAATATGTCATAAAAGCAAGAATTCGTAAACCTTTCTTATAAAATAGTGAATAGTGCAAGCAACAAAATAGATATAACTTAGGACTTTGGCTACATCTAATGACAATACTCAAGTGACATGTATGAATCACTGATTGACGTTTATTGTCATCGATGATCACATGTAAAATAACCCCTATGGAAAATATAAACAGTATTTCCATAAAAGGGGTGAACACATGTATGCAATTTAAAAGCTGTCAACAAATGTGAGCATTTTTTTATTAAAAAAATGCTTTTTTAAATAATTTATTGCATCTTTCCAGAATCTTGCACTTTCGAAAAATGAAGAACACAATGTTTAACCTTAAGCGAAATTATTTTTGACAGGAAGTAGGATACAAATTTTAATAATACCAAAGTAAGAATTATTTCCCGTTTTATAGAATTAATTTTTAAATATTTTAAGGGAAATGTAATATAACACTGCTGGTTTCTGTTAATGAATTTCAAATTTAAATAGATTTTATAGGATGATGCGGTTGAACTTCAAGACAATATTGCTTGTAATATTAGTTGCAGTGTTAAGTTCATTATTAACATCGTGGAATAATTGTGGTAGCCTCCAATTTTTTAGAAGTACAGAATGGAAGGCAAAATTTCAACACAGAGTAAGTAAATATGTTTAATTTATATTTTTATGAAATAATACTTTTTTGTTCAAGTCATTTTATAAAACAAAATATATTTTTGGCTGGTTATTAATAATTAAGATAATTATTATACCTCAGAGCTATCTAATATAGTGTAAAAGCAAAATGATAACCTTTTATAATGATGATAATACTTATTGATTGTCATTGTATTTAAATTTACACAAAGGATCGACAAAATCTAGAGACTGGATATCAAGAAATAGATTGTCACATAAATGGTGATTATAACATTGGATGTCGTAAAGAAGGGGATGAAGTGTATATACCATTCTCATTCATACACAAATATTTTGAAGTAAGTTTTACTATTATAATTCATTTATCAAAGTAATAGTATATTAATTTTTTTAATATATGATAGATCTATGGAAAGTTAGCAACTTATGATGGTTTGGAGAGGTTCGAATGGTTGCACAGTTATTCAAAAATTGTTAATCCCAAGGGAAAATATGATCCTCGTGGTGTGTTTATGACTTTTGAAAACTACAATGTTGAAGTTCGAGAACGTGTAAAATGCATCAGTGGAAATGATGGTGTACCGATATCAACTCAGTGGAAGAGTCAAGGATATTATTATCCAACTCAAATTGCTCAATTTGGACTATCCCACTACAGTAAAAATTTAACAGAGCCAGAACCTCGTAAAAAGATTATTGAAGATTCTGATAAAGTTAAAAGAGAATGGATCATTCCTCAGGGATCTATTGTATCTAGGATATTTGATAAGCATGCTAACAGTCATGTAATGAAATTTGCTACACCAGAAACTAGTACTTCTGGAATAACTTTGAAGTTAGATCATGTACTAGATTTTGTATTAAAATGGAACTTTAATATTAAAGACAATGGAAGCATTGTAATTACACTACAGTCTAGAGAAAGAAAAGAAATGCATTATCTTCACTATATTACTAGTAATATAGTGTTGCATACTTACAACAACCATGTCTATTATGGAATTGGCCAAATTAATCATCAATGGAGAAGGTTTACAAGAGACTTAGTTATCGATTTACAAAAAGGTTTATATTTAAATGATAAAAATAAGAAAAAATTGACACGATCAAAATTGAAGGTAACATATAAAGTTAACATTTAACAAATACATTTTATTTAAACTTTTGTTTTCAACTTACTTTAAGAGGATATGTATCTATTCTGTTCATTGTAGATGATAAGAATAACTTTATATGGATCTGGAATGATTGACAATATAACACTATCTTCAAGTGAACATATGGAGCAGTTTTACGATGCAGCAAGATGGTTTGTAGCCAATCAGAATATTACTTCTGGTGGATGGGCAAATCCCGTTAGAAGAAAAGTAGCGCCCGGAATGGCTACTCTCGAGCCTGGATGGTATTTTAACTTTTATTCTACTTCATTGTTAACTTTGTATGGAGTTATATAATTTTCGAAATATTAAATTACATTATAATAATTGCAGGTATTCTAGTATGGGTCAAGGGCATGCTATTTCTGTATTAGCGCGAGCATATTATCATTCCAGCGAAGAGCAGTATCTTCAAGCTGCTATTAGAGGTTTGCAGCCTTTTAGGTTAACCTCTAATAAAGGTGGAGTAGCTGCAGTATTTTTAGGTAAATACGTATGGTATGAAGAATATCCTACAACGCCTTCTTCTTTTGTACTTAATGGTTTTATTTATTCTCTAATTGGTTTGTATGACTTAAAGAGTATAGCGACAGGTAAAGATGCGGAAGAAGCATCCCGTCTTTTTAATCAGGGTATGACTTCGCTGAAAAACATGTTAACTTTATACGATACAGGCTCCGGTACTACGTATGATTTACGTCATTTTACATTAAAAACAGCCCCAAATTTAGCTAGATGGGATTATCATTCTACGCATGTCAATCAGCTTCTTCTTTTAAATTCAATTGATACCGATCCAATCTTTACCGCGACTGCAGAAAGATGGATTGGTTACATGAATGGTAAGAGAGCACCACACAATTAATTTGTTAACTTTAACGATTGACTGATCTCTGCATTTACTTCCTCATTTTTTGTCGATAAGTATTTAATATCTCTTTCTTCCTTTTCCATTTTGTATTGTACGTTTTGTAAATAATTTCAAATACATAAAAAATAAAGCGGACCAAAATATATTTATCTGCTGGTGTAATCATTGTTACACGAAAGCAGTGACAGGAAAAATTGTAACATTTATTTTTAAGTCATTGTTCATTTGTGTTTGTAAAACACGTAACAACAAACAAGGAAACTTCAAAACGCACATTGTAAAATATATGTTCAGTCATTATCATAGCAAAACGAAGTTCAGTATTCTGTGATTAACCAGTAATTAAATGTTATTGTTATGTGTAATTGTTACCTTAAAAACAATTTGTTTAACTTAATTAAAAACCATAAAAAGTAAAACTATTTATTATTACCGATTTAATGTTTATATCCAAAGGAGAATGATACATAGCCGTTACTTAATTCATAAAAGATTCAAAAGTTATTGTATGAAAGATGAGAAGGGTGAAAATAAAAATTAATAAAATGATTTATTTAAAACTTGGGCATTTTCACACCGATGGCGCCACTAGCATTACGTATAGTAGAATGGTTTAATATTAATAATATCAACTATTACATTCATTTAATAGGATTATTTGTTAAAGAATTTGTAGTATTAGCTAATAAACCACGATTATGTATTAATTCCATCCTGTATCGTGGACTGTAATTGTACGATAATAAACTATACAGGAGAAAGTGTAGTATAAACCAAGCCATAAACTCCCACAAATAGAATAAATGAATACTCTTGTGAATCGTGATACTTTGCATCATGAGATATATATACAGGTTGTCCCAAAAGTCGAGGAGGAGCCGAAAATGGGGGGTAGCTGAGACGATTCTGAACAACAATTTCCTTTGTAAAAATGTCGGATAGGGCTTCGTTAAGGAGATATTAAGAGAAAACCCCGACCAATCAGAGCGCGCGTAGACCGTTGGAGCGGCCGCGGTAGCGAAGGCTACGCGCTGGCGGCCGCGCTTGTATGCGAACAAGTGACTCGACGTGCATCGAAGGTCTACGCGCGCTCTGATTGGTCGGGGTTTTCGCTTAATATCTCCTTAACGAAGCCCCATCCGACATTTTTGCAAAGGAAATTGTTGTTCAGAATCGTCTCAGCTACCCCCCATTTTCGGCTCCTCCCCGACTTTTGGGACATCCTGTATATATATTCCTAATGTATTTTATGCGATCTTGGCAATTTAGTTTAATTTATTAGATAGAATATAATAAGTTATATGTAGAAACTTAATTTATATATCAATTCGCATTACACGCTAATCCTATGAATCTAGCGGTTTGAAGATAATTTATTGTATGTACAAAGTATGAAACCAATCGAATTTTATTATAAAATAAAACTTAACATTTGATTACGAGTAATATTGAATTTAACAAGTCGCAAACGTTATAGTTAATATTAACACTCAGTTTGCTGCTGTAGAGGGTGTAGAAGAGCGTGTTTTAATAAAGTATTGCCGAATTCCCCCCTCTTCGGGCATGATACGGACGAAAACGCCTATACGTAGAAACGTATAGCTTCTAAGTATAGTATAACTATAATACTATATTGTGCGTAAAGGTTAGGAGTAGTTAAGCGATCAAACGTGGGTTAGGTGAATATAACGGCTCCTGTCACAATGTAGTGTGTAATAATGTTATTGTGATATTATAATAATAAACGAACATCGATATACAAGTAGATTTCAACACCGTGTGATCCATCACGGAATACATGGATGTTGCGAACGGACAAAAGCCCCTCAGTGAGTATTATTTAGAATTTATTTCATGTGGGTGTTCAAATTTTCTATTGCCCCGAAGTAAACGAACAAATTTTGTTTCGAAAATAATGGCCATAATTATATTTCGATTCGAAGAAAGTTAAAAATTCACCGTGCTTTATAGTTTTCGATTGTGTATCTGCATACACAAAAAATGTAACTCCATTTATAGTTGAATAATTATAATTGCGGTAGATATTTGTGAAAATATTCTAAACAATTTAGTAATTTATGATTACTATTTAATCGTATTTTATACAAATATTTTTATGTAGGTGGGCAACCTACTGTCACTGGTGGTCCAGGTATGGATAAAGGGAAAGAGTGGCAGATGGAATTGCTTATGGAGAAATTACGCTCCAAAGCTTCAACTTTTAAATCCTTGGTGGAAACTGCCAAGAACCTGCGTATGGCAATGCTGGTAAGTTATTTTTAATTTAGTGCTTGAATTATATTTGATTATCGACTGCTCAAAACTGATCTTCTATTAATGATATTTTACTATTTCAATAGGACAAGAGGTTTGCAATTGACAGTGCAGAGAAAAGTCAATTACAGAAATGTTTAGATACTTTACAACATTCCATTAAAGTAACCTCCTTGCAATCCATGGTGGAGCGCTTGGAGAGTTTAACCAGACAATTGGGGTAAATATTCATAATTTGTGCATTGTATTATGGAAGAACACCAGATAACTTAGACAATGTTTGTGTTGCAATTGGGTTACAGCTTAAAGTTTATGATGTCTGGTCCACCAGGTACAGAATTGTTTATATCATCGGATATGTTTTTTTTGGAAGTTCTTTTGGAGCCAACAGGTGTAGTTAAAGATGTTAAAATCCACCATGAAGGAAAAAATGAACAGCAGGTATAAATTTGGTTGGAGTTGAATAATTTTCATTTTTATTAATAATAAATGTAATCTCCTGGTAATATATTTGCAGAGCTGTGATGTGTTGGTATCTTGTTTGTCGCGAGGAGACTTCCTTGATTTTACAGTACAATTAGAAGGTTTAGCTTCGATATATCAATTAAATGCAGATAAGAAGGTAAAATGTAAAGCATTCAGTGCTTTACAATCGCTGGAAGCTGATTTGGGTATCTTAGCTCAATTGCAAACATTTATCAAGGAACCCTTTAATCTTGTTCATAAAAGCCCAGTTGGTTAGTTCAATAATATTAATTTTCTTGCAAAGTAAAAAAGTAACAGTTATACTTACAAAGTGATATTCACTTCAGGAATTCTCGAGCGAAGAAGGGGAGGTCACGCGATGAAACTGACATATTTCGTTTCTCCTTATGATTTAATGGATCAGGAGAATCATACCTGCGATGCATTGAATTCGGATGTAGTTATCAAACGGAAAATTGGCCATTCTGTTACGGTTTGTATGGAAGGTTCGACTGCTCACAAGTTGCCTACAACTAGTATCATAACTGTAAATAGAAGTCCCACAGGAAAAAGGTTTGTATTCCGTTGAAGGAAATAGTATTAAATCCAACTCAATCATGGTCTAATCAATAATTATTCATTTTCAGTACTCCATCCTATGCTCCATTAACTGGTACAAATTCATCTGTGTTACCCGCTTGTTTCGTTTTAAAACTAGTTAACAAAATGCCGATGTGCATGGAATTGGTACGCAGGATACAGAAGGTTACGGAACTCGAATGCGGAGACATATCCGCTCCACATCCGTTGCTCAGTTTAATTATACAAAATGCCAGCGAGGGTCAGCAAGATTGCCGAAACAACAGAGGACTTTACGTTGTATGTAGAGAAATTTATATATAGGCGTCTCTTGTAGTTACAATAGGTTAAGAAGTATTCCTCATCAGTCGATCGTAAAAATGTCTTAATCCATTAAACTTCTATTCCGTTACAGACGTTGCCGGATCAACAGCATTGCTACTTCATGACAGAAAATAGAAATATGGAAGGTGTATTAGTATGCAGCATTCCTTTCACACACCCAGCCCATGTTCCACAGATCTTGGTATACTTACGTCAACAAGCGCTATTTAACACTCTAATCGCTAGTTGCGTTAGACCCATGGCTCGGCACGATCCAGAACACGCGACTATATTCGAAGTGAGCGCTTTATCATGGCAACACATATCGGTAAGTTTGGAGCATCCTTTTGAAGAAACAATGGCGACGGTGGAACTGGATTTGACGGATATCTCCGCGTTGAAGTGCAAATTGTACGGGATAAGTATAACGAACACGGAACGAACGTCAGATTTGACCGGAAAAGTCTTACAGAAGTGTTTAAGTATACCTTTGACAATGAGGATTCTCATGAAGTCGTGGGAGAGTCGAGACTCTTTGAACGCGATGAACAGTATGAATAGCGGAAACGGAAACTACAACGTTAACCTTGGTTCTGGCAAGGATCAGAACAGCCAAAATGGTTCCGGAATGCCGGATTTCACTAACGGGGAAACGAAAATAAAGCAGGAACCCGGCTTGAATAACGGAAACGGAACTATGGGGCGGCAACAGTCGTCGCAACAGCAACAACAGCAGCAGCAGCAGCAACAACAACAACAGCAGCAGCAGTCTTTTTTAGATGCCGGAACGGAGAATAGTATCGGGTTTCCGTCATATTCCGGCCAATCCGATACCACAACTACTGCGATGTTGAACCCTTTGCAATTGGGGGCGTTGCTTGGACAAGCAAAAAACTCGTTGGCTAATCCTATCAACGAGCGTGGGAAAAAAACGCGCAAAAGAAAAACAGCGGACGGTATTTGGCGTAGTCCTAAGAGGAAAGGCGACGAGACGGCGGAAATACTATTGGAAAGTTCCAGTTCCGATTCGACGCCTCTCGGTACGCCGACAGGTGGTAGAGAAACTATGAACGAAACGAGAACGTCCACTCCAACGTCAGCCACGAGTTTAACCAGCGGTCTGGATTTTTCCAATTTGGATCCCACGGATATCTTGGGAACGGATAAAAGCTCCGACTACGATTTCGACAACGAGAGCGAGATAACGGACGTTCACGATTTGCAAGATGTGGAAGAGTTGATCAAAAGAGATCGCAAGTCGAGGAAAAGGGAAGAGAAAAAGAGTCCGATTATATTCGAAGAGAACAAAAACCTGGTGCCGCCATCAGTAAGTATAACGCCAATTTCAAGCAGTAGTTTGGGTCAAACTACCAACTATAATTCTGTACTTACGGGGATGGGTTTGGAAAGGAGACCCGGCATTGAAATAATACCGATAGCATCGTCGCCGCAAACCACTTTACCGAGTTCTATTACTATAACTCCGATAGCTGGACCAACGCAGTCGAAAAGTTTGACGGACGAACGCAGAGAAAGAAAGAGCTCGAAGGGAAAGTCGACGGAGGATAAGGGAAAGCTGGAGAAGAGACGCAAGCGAAAAAGAGAGGACAGTCCTATGGGACCGCCGCCGGACAAGATACCATCTAAACAGGATCCATTGTCGAAACCGGTATCGGTGAGCATCAAACCGACCGAATCGCCGCCGAACTTGAGCTCGCGCCCGGCATCGCCAGCCACGACGTTAAGAAAATTTAGTCCGTCTCCCACGCATACCAGTCCACTCGCTCTTGTAGGTAAGTCCAGTCCCACGTTGAAACAATCAACGAACAAGCCGGTGCAAAGTCCAAAGCACTCTCCGGTCTACAGCAGTAGTCCCAAGCATACGCCAGTAGCTGCGAGCGTGAGTCCGAAACACGGCACATCGTCTCCTAAGCATGGCAGTTCAGCGAGCACCGGGAAACCGAGCATGTCCGCGCTGAAATCCGCAGCGAATTCCCCTTCCAGTAAAACCACCGATGCGGGCCAGTCCAAGACGAAGTCTTCTTCCTCGTCGTCCTCGAGTAAAGAATCCAATCGGGACAAGGAAAGAAAGACATCGTCGTTAGCCTTCGGTGGATCCAGCGGGCATCAGAGCCCCAAAACAAAATCGTCTAGCGGTAAGTTGAAACAACTGGAATTAATTCCTAGCGGGGAAACGCAGTCTGCCTTACCTAATAGCGGTGGCAGCACGCCACCCTCTGGCAGCTCGGAACACGGCAAATCCGCCATTGCCCAGCAACAAGCGAGAAACAGGAAGGGCTCGTTGAGCGCTGTCATCGATAAACTGAAAAATGCTCAACACTGTTCGGACGACAATGGCAACGGTGGAACGAAATCAGCTACCAGCGGAGGCGGCAACTCGAGCAGTCAGAAAGAGAGAAGCGTTGGTAGCTCTTCGAACAAGACCGCAGAGGGAAAATGCATCGGCAAAAACTCCTCCATGGAGTCGAAGAATCCTGCGGAGTACATGGTGAAACATAGTTCGGATGGGATGAAGATAACGATCAATAAAACTCGCACAAAAGACTCGAAATCGGGAGCGAATCTTAAATTGTCCTCGTCCTCCGCGTCCGTCGCGACTGGCACATCTTCAAGTTCGTCTGTTTCCTCCACTTCCATGTCGGGTAACGGGTCCCCGAAAACGCACACTGGTTTGAAGCCAGGGGTAAGTTCTGGCCCAGCATCGAAGAAACCCCCTTCCCAAACTTCTCCGAAGTTGTCCGGTTCCTCGTCTTCCGGTTCTGGAAGCAGCAGCGGTAGCAAAGCGACGTTGTTAGGACAGAAGATGCTGTCTACTTTGAAATCTATCTCAGGACCAAATTCTAGCAGTGGAAACGGTGCAGGGGGAATCAACGTCGGAGGTAGTGGTAGCGCTGGCTTGCTGACCAAAAGCGTCATGTCCTCGAAGTCCTCTTCGAGCTCTCCGAAGACAACCAGCTCGGGCGTGACGGATCTCAGTCGAAATCGCGACAAATCCCGATTGTCTAAGTCTGGCGATAAAAATTTATTTCCTTCGAAAGGCATCGGAGACACGAGAAAATCGAGTCCCTCCGGTTTACGAGAGGAAAGCGAGAGCGAGAGGGCGTTCAAACTTTTAGCTCACGCTACCATGTCGAACTTGTCGAGTCTACCCAATTTATCACCACAGTTGGTCGTCGAAGGCCTCATGAAACAACTGGACACCAAGTTTCAAATACCCAAGCTGTCCGCTAGAGCTAATGCGGACTCTGGTGACAAGAAATCGGAAAAACTTTCCATGCTCCCCGATCCTGGGAAGACTCTGGACAATTTGACGACGAAGCAGGTGTCGGAGCAAGGGAAACTGCAAACGATATCAAACACCACGTCGACTGGTTCCAAGGCAACGTCGGAGGACCAAACGAGCCAAGGTAGACGGGATCACGTACAAACGAAGCCTGACAATCTTTCCATGACAGGTGTAGCTACGGTAATGTCTATGAATCTCAGCGCTGACAACACCAGCAATCTCCTGCTTCCGGCTTTGTCTAGCGGGGGTTCGCACGACATGGATATCCCCACGAATCTCTCGATGCAGCCGACCGATAACGAATCCCGCGACTCGTGCAAGGAGTCATCGATGGGCAGGACCAACGCGCAGTTTCTGAGTAGTACCTTGAACTCCACAGCCGGCGGCAAAGACGACGCCAGTGGCAGTGGTCCGGTAATGGCCGTTCTACCAAAAAGTTCCGACGCACAGGCTACCAGCAAACCCGTGTACTCCGCCATGATGGCTACCGGCGCTATAACTGGTGGCAACGGGACCAGCACCTCGAACACCGGTAACGGAAGCTCGGAAAGCTTGAACCTAAGCATTAAACCAGTGGACGCGACTATGACAAAGTACAAATCCGACGAGAAGAAGCAGCAACAGCCGCAGCAGCAACAACCGCAGCAGCAGCAGCAACAACAACAACAACAATCGCAGCAGCAGCAATCGCAACAGCAACAACTACCGTCTTCCGGAGGATCGTCGAGTACCTCTTCGTTAGGCGCTGTGGTAACCTCGGAGGGCTCCTCGAATACCATTAAACCTGGCATGGAGATACCACCGACGACGTCGCAAGAGGCTGCGGAGATGTTACTGGATTTTTCTACCCCGAAAGACGTGGCCAAGAGCTTGAACTTCACGAGCATTCCCGAGAGGGCGATGACCCAGGCGGCCTCGGTGCGCAGAAACACGCCACCACCCCCTCCACCTGCCTTCCCAGCGAGTCCTTCCGTGAGTGTGCACATCGTAAAAAGTCCTGCACCCTCGCCGAGGGTTATCCCACCGTCGCCTCACTCCGCCTCGCCGTGTATCACCGATGACGAGCTAATGGACGAGGCGCTGGTGGGAATGGGCAAATGAAGGTTACTGAAACTCTAGACAGAATTTTATCCGCGTGTTACATTCGCATAGCGCAAGGGACAGGGTGTCCTTACAGGTTGGCTGGCGAACAGAGATGGGTGTATTCGAATGAGTTTGTAGCTGAAACACATCTAACGTGCTATATATGTATTCGTACCGTACAGCTGCCGAATGCAACGTACGAATGAATTTAAGCATTCGATCACAAACGGAATACAAATTAGTAAGGTATTCGTCATTCCGATACTTTTTTAAATAGAGTTTGTCGATCCCTGTTCGCAAGTAACGCTGTCTTTCCACGTGGAGCAGTGTTTCTCAAACTTGCCTTACATGTACGTATATGTCCTCGGATCGTTGACGTCTTCCGAGGTTTCTCGACGGTCTGCTCAGGCTGATAGTTTGGGGAACACTGGTGAGAATGAGTCGAGATCATTCTTGGGAAATAGTGACTTTGAGACTTCCAATTCTTTGTTAGGGAAACAGATAGGTTCTGATAAATAATCGATGGATTTTCGAGGGACACCCTGTAAGTAGTTAAATCTTCACAGTTCTTCTGAAATGTCCTGCCGAATACTAATATGGTTTGCGTCCCCGTGCGCGAATCTTGAGTAAGTTCAATTTTTTCATACATAGAGAAAAAGAGAATACGGCCACTTTTGCAGAAGCTGTACAGAAGTGGAAATATTTAAGTGTACACCGTGTATCAGAGTGGTTTATTACTATAAATTAATTCGTACGCCGCGATACAAGGACTCGAGGTTAGCAGTAAAACGATTGTTTATAGATTTATAAGGTTGAGGGGGGACAAATGGGGATAGCGAATGGTCGCGACGTATGAGAAATAAATATAGACGAGTATATACGAAGTTATTTTCGATAAAATCCATGTTGGACAATATTTATAAGGACACTAAAGGATAGGCGTATGATGTTAACATATAAGGTATTTCTGAATTACTCTATGTCACGTAGGTGGAATTATTGCTGTAGCACGAAATATGGAAATTTCAAGAATAATATTTTCACGTTCAAGCTCTTCTGTGTCTAAAGAGTACGAAATTATTTTTGAATTTAGACTAATTAGTCAATTATCGAGTCCTGTATCTTTACCTTCCTGTTTTTGTATTCGTTCCAGTCGTCCTTCCTCGTATGTACAAAGATTCTTCTTCGACTGCGTACAACAAAGAAAGTCAATGTTTTGGAATCGTCGCGAAGCTTGTATTAGTTTCCTGTTCTACGTTTTACGTAACGAATAGAGTAGTCGTGCTGTTTCGTACAATTACGAAAAGAATGCGTGTGAAACACTTTGTAAACAGTTGAGAAATCTGAACGATTAAGCGCGATAATCGGTTACATGGATTTTACCGATTATGCTTGTCGAACGTTTTATTTTTCGCGTGAAATCGCAACGAAAATGATTCTAATTGATTCTTCTCTCGGCGTTCAACCGTGCGATGGAAATTTCAATGAAATAGCGAAAGGAAGAGGTAGTGGGTATTAAGTGCCAAGTAGAGGTAACATGAGTTTTCAAAGACGGGACTTTGATCCTTTGCGATCTTCGATGCTTTCTTTTACTTCGATTCCACGAAAGAAAATTTTGTGAAATTAAGTACTGCAACGTCTTTCCTTCCGTCACTTTTTTCTTTTCGAAAATCTTCGTAATTCATAAATGTTCCAAAGATTTGAAAGCCCGATCTTTCGAAAACGGACGCGTTGTCTTTGTACAAAATAGAAGAATTTGGTTTAAGAATTGAACGAAGTTTAACGAAGCTGGTGGAAACCAGCTTGAGGGAAACGGATGCTTAGAGAAACAGACACGGAGATATATCAGAGAAGGGCAAACATTTGTTGTGAATACAAATTTCGAATAAAAGATGAACAATGAACAAGGAAATCGATCGAATAGACATCACGAATACATTGCTATACGTTCGTTTGCATTCGTTATCTATTAAAATTTGCCCATCTCTGGAATGTATGAACAGAATGAACGAGTTGTATGCCTGTCACCGATTAATAATACTAAAGACGGAAATAAATGATATAGACGACACTTACGATTACTTTCCACGTGTAAATCGGTAAAAGTTGTATTTTCGAATGGGATTACCGTAGCATAGACAATATATCTTCGGTGGAGAGTGACACGTATATATTCAATAAAAATCAACGTCGAATGTAAAATCAGCCATCAGACGAATCAAATCTTGTCCATCTTCGGTGACAGCCATGCTGTACGATTTTTCTAAAGGAAGATTGTCCGGTGCTTTCGAGAAAAAAAAAGTGTATGATTTATTTTTTCAATACTCACGATCGTGTACATAGAGCTAAGACGTATTTACACTGGTAAACGGTGCTGTAACAAAAATAGAAAAGCGACAGCGATGGACATCGAAATTGATTCCATTAACGCGAAGAATGGTGAAAAGAAAAGAATGAGAGAATCGATTGATTTCTGTTTTTTCTATTATTTGTTTCATGAACAAGAAATTTCTTACGAGCTACTTGAAAGCGTTTCGATACTTCCGCGTTAGATTGCTTCATTTGTCTGAATCGTGTACGTGGTCCCGAAGACCTTAGAAACTATTTCAATGACTAAAACAATGCGTTTAAGATTCGCCAGATGACGCATCGATTGTAGATAAGAACAATATAGTTAACAAAAATGATCATGTTATCTCACTAGGGGTCTTTACGAAGAGTTGGGCACTGATGTTAATGAAACTTTGTAAGTAATTAGGGAAGTTAGTTTTAAAAAATTTAGACAAACACGTTTCATCCACGAAACCATAATAAAATTTTGTAATAAAATAAGTATTTGTATACTTGTCGTTATATCTTTGTGAGTGTCATGAGAATACGTGGTCCTACCATGGTCCTTCGGGGTTTTTTTTATAAGCAAATGAACACGAGTGAAATATTTTCGTACTCACTATTCTATCTACAAAGTTTCACTAAAATTGCTGCGTAACACTTGATCCCCTTGTTAGTTTTAAAAGTTTTAATCCGTTATCGTCGATTTCCTCGGTTCTCTGTCGCCTGATGGACACTCCTCATCCGTTTTACAGGCAAAGTATCATACTTCAGATCCTGAATCGTGTAATTTCGTCACTATCTTAGAATGTTTTACAAAATGCCTGTACTTTTTCACGTAATATTATTTTACAAAATATGCGTGCGAATTCGAGGTTGTAAAATTCGTTTCGGCTTACGTATCAGAACGCGTTGGTTTCCTTAGACGACTAGCTTTGTTGAATACAATCCTGAAGTGTGAAAAAAATGATACGATATCGCGTGGAATTTCGAAAAAAAAAGTTATATGCAGTGCACGGAATATGTTATTTCCTTACGACACATGCGAGAAATACAAATTTATGAAAATAAACTCGTGTATAAATGTATAACTATATTAGCGCATCTGTGTACATATAAGCATTGACCTGTATAGAGAAAAGATCTATATACATACGATTATATAATATATTATATACGATTACCTTTATCGATGACAAGTGTCTTCGAAACACGCCGAATCCACGAGATGAGTATGTAAGCCTTGATAATAAAAATGATATCTCTTTAGGAAGCGGTCGCCCGCGTTTCTTCGATTTTAACTAATTATAAATTATTGGAGGAGAATCGAAAATGGAGGAAAATACAGAACAAGAAAGCAAATAATTAAGAATCGTTTATTTTACTACTTCGACTATCAACTTACTCCTGTTTGGTACAATATCACGTTCACATGAAACTAACTTATATCAATGAGTATCATCGACGAATTAAATACGATATATGGAAATAATACTAATTAAACTTTTCAATGGTATTTATAACTAATGTAAACGGAGAATCGTCTATCGAAATCTCCAAGATGACAATGAGATGTACCAATTTCAACCGGTGTCTATAAATATCGAAGATGAAATTTAAGTGATTGTAAACCTACGTGAATCTCGTCGAACTCTGCTCAATTGTAAATACAAGTCCAGCTTCTTGGGATCATAAAATCAAAGAAATCGTCGCGAGTGGGAGGACAATTGACTCTCGCGAAATATTCCATGCAGTAAAAACTGACTAACACTCCATTGCCTAGACACAAGCTGAGCCATATCAAGATATTCCCTGCCGAATTTAACACGTACATGACGAGTCCTACCCCACCGAATAAAACAAGCAACACTGGATAGAAGAACTTGAACGTTAAACAGAGGATATACTCGTGGAAGACCGCCGAGGTAGCGAACACCATGAAGACTGCCAGCTTCTTGTTCCGCGATGTTAAGTTTTCATAGACGTCCTTGTAGATGTACGTATACAGCCAATCGTGGACCACGATGTTCCAGGTGCGGTAGTACGTACTGTAGCTGTTCGAATTCCACCAGTCCTGAATTTGAGAGCATTAAATTAAATCAGAGATTCTTGGCAAGAATATCGTAAATAAGGAAAGTTAGAGCGAGGAGTAAAATTCAACGAATGATACGAATTCACCGTCGTTTTGTCGGAGTAGACGTAAACCGAGTCCTTGAATCGATAAACGTTCTTTAGCGCTTGAGAAAGCTTTGCAATTAGAGCTGTTCGAGACCCCGGATCATACGAGAATCTCAAATATTCGTGACGAGATTGAACGGCGTTAGTCGAAAGCAAGTATTTCGAAACTCGTGGAAATGATTCCGTGTAATACGAACATGACTCACCCTTTGGAACGTACGTCACACGTTCCACGAGTATTTCTCATGGGATTTTATTAGTTTTATTATCATATGCGTCATATATTGCTCCATTCAAAAATTTGTTTTTTTTTTTTCTTCACTATATCTTTCGAGTAAAGAATAAATTAAAAAATTCAACATACTTTATAAAACATCTTGTCGGCGAATCGTAATAGCTCCGCGCAGGCATTCATCCAAGAATGCAGAAGGCAGTAAAATCCACTGACAAATAGAATTACTCCAGGCAGTATCGAACTGAGTATATTTAGGAGCAGCATTTCAAGGTCTATCGGTTCTTTTCCATAATCGCGATAAGTCGGTTCCAGTATCCGTTCGTAGATAATTGCCACGAAAAAGATGATCGTCAATACCTCGGCGAAATTAATCAGAACAATGTTCCACCGAATGCGTTTTGCCCTGTAAGAATACTCATACTTTAGATAATTATCGCGAGATTTGTTACTTTGCACTTTCGTCTACCCGCATTGAATTGCGTTATTTTTAAATCAGAAGAATACGACACGATTTTCGTGATAAACTGATTATCATTAATAACGTAGTATGTATAATAATATGTGATACAATATTATGGAGCCGTATATCCAAAATGTTAACTTTTATTGATAATCCATAGATATCGATATCGCATACGAAACGAGTGTACCTACCGTTTATAGTATCTCTACATATATTTGAACGAAATAGGAAGCTTTCTTAATTTATCATGAAATTTAATTATTTTTGCATTTATTCGTTATGCCATGCAACAATGTTAAATTCGGAGTTTACCTAGGATAGCTGTCTTGGTAGATCAACGTCGGGGCGAACATGAAGTAAACAAACGTCGAAAAATCTGGAACTTTTGGCTGCGGTGTGTCCGAGTGAGGCTTGTACGACAGAAATCTCGGTGCCACGCTTCTCACGAAGGCATGTATCTTCATCACCATTCGTATCTAAAACAGAACCCAAAAAGGTACACATTTTATCGCTATTTTTGCAATATTAAATTTCAAGATTATACGCATTTATAATATCTTCCATCGAACTTTCTGCAAAGCTACGATTTTTCTTTTTGATCCTCAGATAAATGAGATCAAAGGGTATATAACGACCTCAGGTATACCGATATTTTTTATCGTTCATTATCAAGATGTCTCAGTTTCAATTGTCGACGTAAGCCTTATCGATTACTGCTCTTTGAAATGTATTTTGTTCAATTGTTTGCATAATTAAAATACTAAGTGTACTTGTTCCATAATTATTATTGTACTGGATGCTACGGGTAGATCTTGATGGAGCACAGCTCCCGCGGAAAGTGTGATGAACATGGTATAGTAGAGAACGATGCCTGCTACCCACGTGTAGTCCCACAGGTTCCTGGCAAATGCTGTAAAAGCAATTCTATTAGATTTAGATTAAGATTTTTGAATCTTAAGATGCGAGTTGAATTTTTACAGATTTACATTTCGGTGGCCATTTGACGCGTTGCGTGGCCCAGTAGGAAAAGGCTGCGTGAACACATAACGTTGAACCTTTCATAAGGGACCAAATGCAAAATACCATTGGAAATTTACCAAAACCACGTCGCACTGTGCCGATAGCCAGGTTGGGTCTAGAATAACAGATTAGTTTAATGATAATTAAAACATATCGCTCGATAAACGAGCGTAGAAGTTAAGATTGCTTTTTAAATGTTACATATACAAATTATCGCAAAACAAATGTTACGTTGAATGTAAATTGTATTGTATTTTGCGGACAATGAAAGTGATGTAACATTTTTTTGTATCACTCTTTATAATTTATTTGTTTCGTGATACATGTGTCCAGATAAGAGTCATGCTCGTATCTTTTGTTAGCAGCGCGATAGGAAGAGAGCGTAAATGAGTGCAAGTTCGGTGCTGGTGTACTCACAATCCGGTGATTCGCATGTCGTTTATGGCTGTATGTATCATCAGCAATATCAGAGACGATACTAGGACATTATAAATAGTGCGAATGTGTTTGACTTCGTAAAGATCGGTCAACATGGAATTCCTATGAAGGAATTGTTTAATGGGTAGAACGTCGTTCGTAGATTTCCTATAGAAAAAATTATGTCTTACATTATAAATGACCTGAACATTATAAATTACGGTACGATCATTTCTTTGGCGTACAATTTCAAGCGAAAAGTGGAAAGGTAGTAATTTCTGGTGTTATTGTATAATACATTAACTCTTTAACCTGTAACAACGTGTGAGTCTCGTGGTACAGAATTCGATTCGAACATGAAAAACACGAGTCAGACACAACGTATGAAACGGCGTAAGGAATTTTATACCTGATTATGGCATTCGCGGTTCTACAGCAAATCGTAGGTGAAAGGGTTAACGTACATCATGTGAGAACAAATGAAATTACGTTGGGTCTAAGAGTAAAATGCTCCGTGGAATTACCTTCTGTTACAGTACTTTTCTGTCTCGATAAAATCTTTCATCTCGTGAATCGTTGCTCTGTCCATTTTTCGCAGTATATTTAGCATCGCATCGATCATTCGGTTATTGAGGTCTTCCGAAATTTCGTGCTTTATATCCTATGAAATAAAATAGCTTAATTAGTTAATCGTTGTAATACCGTTAGAGATTCTTTCGCAGGGCAATGAATTATCGATTTACAAGTAGCAGAATGTGATTGATACACGATTTCGAATTTCAGCGAGACATGTGAAGGACACTCGAACCGTAACATGAACTAATTATAACGGAAATATTACCGAATAATTTCACCGCGAATTAATATACCTTCATTTGTTCCTTCAACTCGATACTAATCAAGTTCCTCCCTTTGTTTTCGTAGAGTTGGCTGGACATCTCTGCACAGAAATTTAATATTCATTTTATAAGAGAATTCTATTTCCTCGATTGTCGCGTGCTTGACAGCCCCAATCGGAAATTTTTCAAACATAAAAGTACAATTCTTCTATTTTCCTCGATACCGTCTGTCTCCCATAGAAAATACCGATAAGAACACAATGCTAATTGCGATTACTTACCACGTTTCTTGATATTCTTTTCACTTTCACCTAGTTTTTCGTCGACGAGCTGTTGCTCGGTAGCTACGTTCTCCTTTTCCATTTTTTCGTCGCCATCGACACGATCTATCATGTTTTATTCGATAAATCTACGCCTATCGTTCTTCGCTAGGAGGAGAGATTTATACAAATTTTGTCGAAATATTTTTAACAACGCGCTCGAAACTCGAGGCTCAGAGGGAACAGTCGAAAGGTGTTCACGCGAACAAGAACAGACTAGAATGAAATCAACCGTCTCTTTAGCACTCCTTTAGAATTAACGATGTCCCGTCGACTTGATCCGATGATGACTACGTTTGAGAGTGAACCGTTTATGCTTCTTGGAGCACGAACGTCAACTGATCTCGTACCAGCGCGAATCGCGAAGAGTATTAGCGCTACCAATGCTTATCGATATTTCTGGTAGGTCGCGGGTCGAAATTGCTTCTATCGTTTTTCTTTGTATCAGCACGTGTCTTTTCCTTAAAGTTGTCTTTAATCGTCGATGAGTGCACGCACACCGAGACCGTTCTTTTCTCGCCCCTCTTCCGATTAAGTAATCGTAATAGCCGTTTGCGATGGGACCAAGACGTGTGCAGTTAATGTTGATGCGTTCGTGTTAAGAATTTATTTATTTGTATCAGTCGGCATAAAGTTTGATACATGGTTACAATTCACATCGAAAGTAGAGCAAGTGACGACGGAGCATGTACATTTCTGCACGACTATATGTCTAATAGAATAAGTAGTAAATAGAATATGGACAGCGATTAGTAATTTCGCCTTTGACGGCTGACTGTAACATCTGACCCAATACGCCCCTGTAGGAGGTCTTTTTACTTTCCAAGCTGTCCACGAGAAAAGTATTTTAATCGACGTTCTATTTTCGAAAAGGATAAGTATGAAAATTTGTCGAGTACGCGTGTACCTGATTTAGTTCGACGGATTTTACTATCTTACTGTTCCGAGTATGAGAGTACTTCCGTGCTTCTTGCAATGTTTACAAACATTGTCAACATGACGATATCTCTTACATCGACTTTACTTTCTTTCTATGCTTATGGTCTACAATGAAATCCGTCGAACTGAAACTGGTTCAAGTGCACGCGTACTCGACATTGAAATAGCGAGAAATTGGCCCAAGATAAACTCGTTAATCATCCACTTACGGAAAGAAGAAATTAGTTACAACTCATTTTTTTTTTTCGAAAATAAAGCGTCATATGCAACAGTCCATGTTCCATTATCTTTTTGAAATGCTTTGTCTTTTAGAAAGCTATTTAGATGACTGAAAAAATGGATGGGGTAACAGTTAATATTTCAGTTCATTCAGGTTTCCTAAACTATTAAGGGCCCGTTAGTTCTTCATTAAAAAGTGCCTTGGGGACGCAGGAGAAATTCCAAACGAATGAAAATCTCATTTTCGAGAATCACTCGAATTTGGCAGTTTTAGTGCTCGTCTTTTTGTCGTCGAAAATGTGGAAATGCGTGTCAGGTGGTTCTGCGGGACCATCCATCAGAAAATCGTTCGTTCCAGAATCTGTCTGGTTACTTGGCTGAAATGTGCCACTGTACCATCGCGCATGAATCACGCGGGACGTGCAACGCCTACTAAAACTTCTTCCAATAATTTATGCAATTTATTACTTCAGAAATTGACCTAAGATAAACTCGTTAATCATCCACTAAAGGAAAGAAGAAATTAGTTACAATTTGGGAACAAGAACGAACAGGATATATCTTTATATTGATCACTTTTTCATTGTTTTTGCGTTTTCGATCGAGGGTACGTTTTCGATGTAAACATATTTACATGCCGAAGCCAGACATCTATTCCATATCTTTATCGGATTTGTTTACCACTTATGAATGGAATGCCAATAAGCAGAGTGCATAGTTCAATTATCTGGCATAGATCAATGAATGAACAGAATACGTAATAACATATTTCGTATGAATAATAGAAAACGTATTTAATTTTTAATTATGTTCATCGATGTTTAGTCAAAGCGTTTGAAAATCGTTTAGATCTAGTTGCGTAAAATTTCAATATTACAATGTAATTGTGAATGAAATCAATGATGGAAACGTTGAGGCTCTGCACATTAATAGATTGCGGATTCAACTGCTGTTCACTGGAGAATGAAAATAGACTTGAATGGTAGATAATAAGTACTTCAGTGTCACTTTATTGAGACAATACCGATAACGTCCCGACATCTGTCGGTGAACACTGAGGCAACGATGCTCTGGTTATACCGATGATACGTATCAGATTGAAAACGCCATATTGGAGAACTTTGATTTTTAAGGAACAGACTTTTTAAATAATCGTATTTAGACTCCTCCCTAATTTAATTGACGTGGAGATGAATTATAATAAATGCATCATTTATTTGTACTTTCATATTTGATTGTTCCAGCTATAGTTTGAAATTCCTCGATGAAATAATAGAGATATAAAAAGTAGGGGTATACAAACAGATGTTTGATAATACTAATGTATGTAAATATAGTATTGTTACGTGTTTAATTAATATTAAGCTTTCAGAATTATTAATAAAGACTCGCAATTAACGGATCCCCTATTTCGACTGGACCCAATTGTGCACGTTCCCAAAACGGCGGAGACATCGATGCCTCGTGGAACATGTTCCACGCATTGGAGTGTTACAAGTTGGATGCATTTTTAATTCCTCGTCAAAGCTTCATGACAAAAAGATAATACTCGCAGAGATTTTGCTCTCGTAGATATAAAATACAAAATATAAGTTTTGTTTCGTTGTTTGAATGAATGGGGAGGAATTACTCAGCTGTGCAAACGTGTATAATGTACTTGAACGATTGGTTAAAAATTTGATAACGATAGCATCTTGTAGTGCGCAGTCAAGATAGTGGTTGACGCAAGCCCAAGGCCGTTGATCGAACGGTTAGGTCAGCTATTGCAGTAGAATCATTCCGAATACCTCGATTTCTATCGACGTCAGGCTACTTTCGAGTAGTTATGTATTAATAATTCCGCGAGAGTTTATTAATTCAACAGAATTTCCATAGCAATCCTTTCCATCTCTTCATGTGCGTCATACAACTGTAATGAAAATAAAATTTATATTTTTCTAAAACATGTTGCGATTCCTAAATCGTACCGGCACGATTTATGAACTCGCGCATATCATGTAAATAAAGCTAGCTGGTTCTGTTTCCTCTGAAACGAAGTACGTATAAACAGCATGATCCGTTGCATAAAATATGCATTATAATATAATTTATCATATGAAATTCGCTCTAAGAGCGATCATATTGATTTGCATAATGGACCTCTCCTCTTATTAATTCAATTTTCCTCGAGAAACCATATAAATATATAAATTATACATTGTAACTCGTCGCAATCATGAAAATCTTATCATGAAAACCTACATTATATAGATAGTTCTCTTGTTCAGTGACCTCTGTAAAAAAAACCCTATCTCTTAGATTAGATGACAGTTCCTCCTGTTCTAGTTTAGCGAAAAGAAATCCACAAAGACTTGCTCGTGATTCCTCGACGATAGTTTCGAGTGACCACTGGCGAGTCGCAGTCTTCGGGGACCAAAAGTGTCAAAAACGTTCGCTTTCTCTCCTTCTAGAGCAAAAGGAATGAAAGAAACGCGAGTTTTCGCGGGGTGGAATTTCGCAACGAGGCCGAGTTCCGGGCAATAGGTTGGTCATTATTATACGTAACTCGGTCTGTTCGCAGCTTTGACATCAAAAATTGTTCAAGGGACACACGGTGTACGGAGGACAAAGCGAGAGGGACAGAGAAAAATCGCGAAGGGTAGGAAAGAGAAAAAGAGAGACTCGCTCTCTAGCTGTGTTGTGAAAGTTATACACGAGTGGAAGGCAAGAGGGGATCCTGGATCGCTTCTGGTACCTCTGGTAGATCGTGGCTAAGCCAGTCGCTGGTTCGCCGCTCACCTAAACGGCTTTCACCTGGCCGATTACGAAGATTCTTGGTCGTCGACCGCCTCGAATGATTCTGCTCTCCATCGAGTGTCTTTCGAGCGCGTGTACACGAAAAAACCGTGGTTACGTGGCCGATGATCAGTGACCGACCATAGCTCGGCATGTGACTCGTGTTCTCGTCGAGGAGATTTGTGTGTCCATGCAAGCAGAGGAGGAAGAAGGATTCGTGAACGGATCCGGTCTTCCGAAAACGATCCAGGAAGTGCACCTTTGATTTATCCTGCCGTGCCTAAACATCGTGTTTCGTTCCTGGTAGCTGGTGGAGGTCTCGCTCCCATCCAGCAGGTACGTCGCTTAATTATTTTCTTTTTAAGGATTCGCGAGCTGACAGCTGTGACACTGGTGTCTTTTGGATTTATCGCGGAAACTGAACTGGAAATGGGAAAGCGGTTACTCGTTAAATAACTAGCGAACGAAAATTGGACAATAAGAGATGTCAGTTGCGACACGAGGGTGTTTTTAAGACTTACCGCGAGAATAGAATTTTAGAAGGCATATGCTAGTTTTTTTTTTTTATGTTATCGGCAACGAAAGATTGTCAAAAACAGTCTTCATCGCGGAGCAGTCTAATCGACAACGTTTCGACTTGTCGCATTAAGTCGTTCAGCTGTTCAAACGATCGAATTCCGATCGGATTGGAGTCGTTTCAAAGCAGTTGTTTCACCGAGGCGAATGTTCCTCCAACGTTACCGTTGACTTTCTATTGTGCATCGAAGCCACGAGGTTTCGTAATTTGGTGAATGATCTGATCGGCGCCGATAATCTCCCGCGCGATGACAGCTGTTTCACTTCTAAAGGAGAATCTATCGAAGCGTACAAGTCTCTCTAATCTATGAACAAATTTTTACAACGTTGAACATTCGAACCATTTGGGGCAACCAAGCATGCCTCCTTAAAAGCTATTTATCAACTTTAACGATTGAAAATTTCTCTTTGGTGGCAAAAATATTCTTCGAACGTCTCAAATTGCTTGGGAAAAAATTTTAAGTTTAAACGTCAAAGCACTTGTGATACAGTCATAACTTTTATTTCGCCGCATTTCACAACTTTTTGTTTTACGTAGTTAATCAATTTACACGGTAAATCTGCGGAACACTGCAATAAAAACATTTGACCTGATGCGAACACGGAAGTTAGAGGGTCGTTAGAACTGTCGATATGCAATTAAACAAAATTGTAATTAAGAGAAAAGAGAAACGTGACGGGGAACACGTCACCGACGATGAATGAAAATAACGACGCGGGAAGAAAATCGCGCCTCGGCGTCGCGTAGCATTCGAAATCGTTAGAAAACGCGACGAACCCGCTGATTGCTTCTATGACAGGGAAAAATGTACCCCTCCCCCCTGTGGTTCTCACCTTTCGCTGCCTAATAATGGGAATTGTGCGATTTCTATGTCAAGACGCAGTGGTTCGCGTTGCGCGGACACTTCATT